ATGACAGCAGTTGCAGCGAGCGAGGCAAACCCTTGTTGCCCCTTGTTGCGCACTTTTGACACTGCTACAACTCCGCACTCACAAAATCTGCTACCCCACTCACAAAATAGTGCCCTGAGGACCAAATCGCGACTCGTAACCTTCAGGGCTGAGAGTGCCACGCCAGTAATGAAAAATGGAAGATACCGACGTAGAGAACAGAAGCAAAGCCCCATTCCATAGTAGCGGCGAAAATAGTAGCAGTGACTTAGGGGCGGGGCTATGCTAGTGGGCGGGGTATATAGCCTTACTTACGGCCTCAAGCTTGTTAAGCCGTGACGACAAGAGGGTACATACCCTGCTCTTGTGTACCACATTTCTCGCGCGAAATCTCCATTTCGTAGCAGAAATTCCGAACCCCGTCGTTAAAGGCAAAGTTCGGGCTCAGACCCACTTAATGAGCCTTTACGGTGGCTAGAAGCGCTAGGCACGCAAGTGTAGGGGTCGCGTCACTTCCCTACTTCGAAAACCGTTATTTAGACGCTAGGCTCTAAGAACTTTGACACGCTCCACCTGCTGCGACACGCTCCGCCCACCGCTCGATATCTTGACTGCGTCGGAATGTTGATCTGCTATGCTCTCTCTACTTAGACTTCTCTAGCGCTCTCCGCGCTCACATTATCTCTCATCTCCCTGCCGGCCTTTTGAACTTCTCCGCACCGTAGAGGAAATGGCTCGTATTTCCTAAGCATTTCACGATTTCTTTTTCTCTTTTCTGCACTGGCGGTCCACTACCTACCCCTACTTTCACATTTGAGTGGAATTACCTCATAATTCAATCCTGAATCTTGCCTTTAAGGAAAAACTTGTGCCGCTTCAGATCTACGTAATCTTCCAGATACCAATGAAGGTTGTAATGCCGGAATAATATGAGCCTTAGACATGATGATAAAAAAATAAAAATTAACGATGATGTTGCAAAAGTAGAAAAAATTCGTTCCAAACTTAGCTTTGCGCCTGCCAAAAATTGAGGTCAACCATTCAGACCACAATACATTCAGCACTTTCAATCAACGTGTTTCAAATTTGCTAAGATTGCAAAGATCCCGGATGTAGGCCTAAGAATTGCGCAGCTGCTAGGATTATTGCCTTGCATCAATTACCGAGCGCCTTTTGCTCAAATAATTGAAAATTTATCGTTTGCGACCGATTTCTCCACAAATGAAAGAATGGAAAATCGTGATTTCCAGTGAGTCCCGACGAGCTAATGGCAGCCGGAAAAACGGATGGTCGAGGTCACTTCGAAATCAGCGGCCATGCAGATGAGTTCACATCGATAGAGCCCAAACTCAACATCTACCACGATTGTGACGACGGCATCATGGTGAGTTGTACCTGCTTTGATATGTTTTGATTCGGGATCAGTCCAGCGCTTTGTTCTAGCTTGGTACCATTTCACTTTCGCTCGATTTCGGTAAATTTCGGTACTAGTCGCATCTTTTTAGCAGATTACCCCAACTGCGAGATAAGATTGGTCGAATCACATCCAGGCACGGACACAGCGACTTCGAGTTGCCTAGGATGAGCAAGGTGCAATTCTTTGAAAACAAAAATGCAGTGACGTGCACAGTCCCATTCTGAATCGTCGACATCCATGCAATTTTTGAAATTCCTTGGTTTGTGTTTATACGGGTCCTCAGAAACATCGAGGAACCATCGACTGTGGCACGCAATGTGGCGAGTAGGACTCGTCAAGCTCATTTTAGAGCGGTTTCTTCAACGAATCCCTAGACATAATGTGTTTTATGCAAGCCTCAGCTTCTAGAACGGATCCGACAGCGTACCCTATCGAGCTCAGATCTGAAATGCTGTTCTACCCACCGTTTAAAGGCAAGATTCAAGCTTAAACTGATGAGGTAATTCTACTCAAATGTGATGTGGGAGTGGGAGGTGGACCGCCAGTGAAGAAAAAAGGAAAAAAAAACGTGAAATACACAGGAAATACGAGCCTTTTGCTCTACGTTGCGGCGAAGTTCAAAAGGCCGGCAGGGAGGTGAGAGATAATGTGAGCGCGGAGAGCGGTAGAGAAATCCGAGAAGAGAGGGCATAGCAGATCAGCATTGCGATGCGGACAAAATATCGAGCGGTGGGCGGAGCGTGTCGCGGCAGGAGGAGCGTGTCAAAGTCCTTGGCCCCTAGCGCTTCAGTGACGCATTTCGATGCGGGGTTTTGGCGAGTCGCTTACAGTTGTGTCCCATGCGCTTCTAGCCACTTTAAGGGCTCATTAGGTGGGTCTGAGCCCGAACTTTGCCTTTAAGCCGACAAAGTCGAAAAAATCGGTTCTGCATCAATGCTGCACTAGTACTGAACCACCCTTGCCTCGTAAACGGGAGCTCCTACTTGATGGAAGGCCCAGCAACGATTTTCAAAGTGAAAATAAACTCAGGATAGCAATGGGCTCTGATAAGTCCAAAAGAGCCCCCTGATTCCTATCTCTCGTGACATCCAGTGAAACCAGCGCGTCAACTACCTGCAAATTCTATCGCACACAATCCTTAGATTGTTCGTGGTCGCCACAGAAACACGCCCTTCTCATCCAGAATGACTGCATTCAGCTCCTTGTCCCCTGTACCATTGGAGCATCTATTGATAGTGCTCGGGTATACACCAAAACGATGATAATTGTCGCGTGCCAAAAACCCTCAACGTCGAAGTCCAATGATTTAGGGACGGTGTCAGTATCAGTCAACCGCTGCAGCTACCATAGATTTTGGTGGTTGAACAAGGTAAGCATAAACAATTCTACACCACAGTACCAAAACTAGGACAGAAGAAAACAGCATCTGTGAATATCAGTTCAAATTGTTTGCTCATGCGTTGTCTCCGTAATTTTGGCGGGCACCGCCTGTAGAAGGAATAGCATACATTATTTGTGGCCTTGTTTAGGCCGATGTCAGACTTTGCGAATCGCGCGATTCGCTAGCGTCTGCGGTCGCGTCGCGGCCAGTGAATCACTCAATTGGCTGGTACCGCAACGCGACCGCGGACGCTAGCGAATCGCGCGATTCGCAAAGTCTGACATCGGCCAAGGGCGTAAGTAAATGAGAAAGCCGAATGACTGCATAGCACTTGTCCCGCCTCGCATCATTATCCATATGCGACAAAGCCATTCTCGAACCTCACTTAGGCCGATGTCATAGTTTGCGAATCGAGCGATTCGCTAGCGAATCGCTGGATCCGAGCGTTGCGCCAGCGAATCGAACGTTGCACCAGCGAATCGAACTTTGCACCAGCGAATCGAACTTTGCGCCAGCGAGTCGAACGATGTACCAGCGAGTCGAACTAGGTACCAGCGACTCAATAGTGGCGGGACCCAACGTTTAAAGGAAAGTTTTCATAATTCATATCAGAAAAAGATTTGATGGAAACGTAAGCGCTGGAATTGAAAACTCACCAACAGTTCTACAAGGTGGAGTCGCATGAATATACTAAACACGATTCTGAAGTCAGATGAAGGATCGAGCTTTGGCAGAGATAGTCAAGCCGTCCATTTTTCACGAGTCGGGTGACTAGTAGTAGACCGGCTGAATTATTGAAACATTTACTTTCGCATGCAAGTATACGAAATCGTTGTTGCATTGCGATTCTGAATTCAATTCGCATTCCTGGCGCATCATAAGCGAGATGGATGAAGACTGAATGCATTTGCATTTCTATTTCAGCTTTGAATTATTGAAAACAACTCAGATTTAGTCCATACTTTCAGCCTTGTCAACGTAAAATTTCAATTCACATTCCGGACGCATATATAGCCAGTGGAGAGGTGAGCCAAGATAGTCTAGCCATAACCATTCACTAGGCTCTTAGAAAACTGATGAAAATTTAGATCAGTTTCAGTGCTTTGTTTTAGCAAGAGCCAGGGTTACTTGCTGACTGGCTCTTTTCTTAGAGCAGTAGAAAGTTCTGATGATAGAGAACAGTCTATTGGATATGGGTTCATTCAGGTGCCCAAGAAAATCTTCGATTTCGGCACATTCCAATTGGCCGGCAAATATTCTGGAGAGACCAGAGATTGTCTTCATCGAGCCTAGATCGATACAAATTGCTTATAGTTCTATATTAAAATTGTACATTAGTCGTGATCTTGAACAAATTTCTATAAATTTGCACAAAGTTGAACTTTAAAGGCACAGATGGCGCAGTGCTTGCATTTGCCACCATTTCATGGTAGACTGTGTTTGGTAGGTGACACGGTCACAGGCCAGCCCTGCCAGTCAGTAGCTGGATCAAGTATGCGCCCTGAGTGGCGGCAGCGGAGGCCTCCACAATTCTAACTGACAAAGGCATGCATGGCCTATTCCAGTAAGAAAAATCAGCACTATCTCAGCATCAACCTTCTCGTGCCACCTTCTTATGCTCAAAAAATCAGTACCAAAGCTTTACTTCAACTACCACCTCGTGCCAATAACTTTTCTAGCTGGAACATATACCAGAAGCAATTGATGACTATTTTGACTAATCGTTTTCATCAGCAGATGATGTTATGACGTTTTTCCCCCACCTCCGAACCCTTTTTCTGCAGCAGGTTCCTCATGAACTGTCGAGCTCGTTTTCGAACCACCACCTCTTCCGTTCTTGTCTGTTCACTTGCCCCACTTGCCCTCAATTCATCAATTCGATCTATTAATTTTGTATGACATTGGTTCCGTTTATCTCTTGATCTGACATTTTTGAACGATGAATCTGAGCAGCGATGTCCTAATTGGGCTGTGAGATATTTGCTTGGATAGCCGTGACTTAATTTTCAGCCTGCTGGCTTCAAACAACCGAATCCGTAGCAGCTCTGGCCTGTGAATGTTATTACTAACCCAAGTGCAGTTCCAACTAACAGGACTTGTATCAATGTGTCGACGATTATCGCGAGTACTCCTTGACGACATCTCTGTTCTATGCTAACTCGTGCTTTTCGGGTCGTGCAGCATTTAGACTATACTCACAAGAATAAATAGAATAGATTTAGTATGCTGCCGGCTGTGCTTATCCTGTGTTTCGTGCCGATGGCAGCTGCTCTTGGCCGAACCCAGTCCGTTGGTGTCAAAGGAGTACTCATATGTAACGATAAACCAGCGGCCGATGTGGAAGTTAAGCTCTACGATGAGGACAAACGTAAGTGCAAGTTAGCGCTTCCACCAAACCCTTTGAATTGTAAAGAAAGTGGCACTTTTCGCTACCACAGGTGAAATCCTGATAGAAGATCGTGGATCAAAACCTAGGAGGCGCTCATGTCCTTGGGGGGGGGGGGG